TTGGGCTGAGTTTGAAGCCCGGATCCGTCCCAAGTGCCTGCCAGAAGCTTTCCTTGGGCCGAGTTTGAAGCCCGGATCTGTCCCAGATCCCTTCCAGAAGCTTCCCCTGGGCCGACGGATCCGTGCCAAATGTTTGTCAGAAGCTTTCCTTGGGCCGAGTTTGAAGCCCTGATCCGTCCCAAGTGCCTGTCAGAAGTTTCCTTGGGGCTTTCCTGGGCAAAGTTCGAAGCTCTGAGCTATTCTTGGGCCGAGTTTGAAGTCCGGATCCGTCCCAGATAGCTTTGCTTGGGCCGAGTTTGAAGCCCGGACCCGTCCCAAAGCTTTCCTTGCACCGAGTTTGAAGCCCTGATCCGTCCCAAGTGTTGGCGGGCCGTGTTTGAAGATGGACCCGTCAAGGAAGCTTTGTTTGGGCTGAGTTTGAAGCCCGGATCCGTCCCAAGTGCCTGCCATAAGCTTTTTTTGGGCCGAGTTTGAAGCCGGGATCCCCCCACGTGCCTGCCAGAAGCTTTCCTTGGGCCGAGTTTAAGCCCTGATCCGTCCCAAGTGCCTGCCAGAAGATTTTCTTGGCTGCCAGAAGCTTTCCTTGGGTCGAGTTTGAAGCCCGGATCCGTCCCAAAGGCCTGCTAGAAGCTTTCCGTGAGCAGAGTTTGAAGCCCTGATCCGTTCCAAGCACCTGCCAGAAGCTTTCCTTGGGCCGAAGAAGTTTTGGGCCGAGTTTGAAGCCTTGATCCGTCCCAAATGCCTGCCAGAAGCTTTCCTTGCGCCGAGTTTGAAGCCTTGATCCGTCCCAAATTTGCCTGCCAGAAGCTTTCCTTGGGGCTGGTTTGAAGCCCTGATCCGTCCCACGTGTCAGTTAGAAGCTTTCCTTGGGCAGAGTTTGAAGCCCGGATCCGTCCCAAGTGCCTGCCAGAAGCTTTCCTTGGGCTGAGTTTGAGGCCCAGATCCGTACCAAATGCCTGGCTGAAGCTTTCCTTGTGCAGCCCTGATCCGTCCCAGGTGCCTACTAGAAGCTTTGCTTGGGCCGATTCGAACCAACTTTCAACCCCAGTGCCTTCCAGAAGCGCCCCTTGGGCCGAGTTAAGCTTTCCTTGGGCCGAGTTTGAAGCCCTGATCCGTCCCAAGTTCCTGCCAGAAGCTTTCCCGTGGCCGAAAAAGTTTTCTTTGGGCCGAGTTTGAAGCCCTGATCTGTCCTTGAAAGTTTGAAGCCTTGAGCCGTTCCAAGTGCTGCCAGAAGTTTTCCTTTCCTTGGGCCGTGTTTCCAGCCCTGATCCGTCCCAAGTGCCTTGGGCCGAGCTTGAAGCCCGGATCCGTCCCAACTGCTGCCAGAAGCTTATGTTGGGCCGAGTTTGAAGCCCAGATCCCTTCCAAGTGCCTGCCAGAAGCTTTCCTTAGGCCGAGTTTCAAGCCGAGTTTGAATCCTTGATCTGTCCCAAGCGTGCCTGCCAGAAGCTTTCCTTGGGCGCCCTGATCCGTCCCAAGTGACTGCCAGAAGCTTTTCTTGGGCCGAGTTTGAAGTCCGGATCCGTCCCAAGTGCTTGCCGTTCCAAGTGCCTGCCACAAATTTTCCTTTCCGTGGGCCCTTTTTGAAGCCTTGATCTGTCCCAAGTGCCTTTAGTTTGAAGCCTTGATCCCTTCCAAGTGCCTGCCAGAAGCTTTCCTTGAGCCGAGTTTGCAGCCTGATGCGTTCCAAGTGCCTGCCAGAAGTTCTCCTTGAGCCGAGTTTGAAGCCCGGATCCGTCCCAAGTATTCCTTGGACCGAGTTTGAAGCCTGGATCCTCCCAAATGCTCGCCATCGGCTTTCTTCGGGCTGATTTTGAAGCCCGGATCCGTCCCAAGTGCGCCATAAGCTTTCTTTGGGCCGAGTTGGACAAGCTACGAGAGCAGCTCCATTATGTTCTCCAAAAAACCCTAAACCCTGTCGCGCGAAACTTCGACGGTGCTTTACTCAACACGAACTCGGGCCAAGTCAAGTAGCCGTAGCCAATGCGTTTTGACGGTAGACTATTCGTCTTTGTCGCTTGGTGTTTGTGTACCTTCTTTTGCCTTCTTTTCCTGTAATTAGTCTCACGTGTCTTGGGGTTGCAAGCCCGCTCCTAAATGAGAACTGCTACCTGCTGCTACCTTCCCTACTTGCCCTCAAGTGTGGAAGCCAGGCGCATGGCCTGGGGGGGGGCTTACCCACATGTGTAAATGATCCTCCCGCTACCGCGCCTGCACAGTGTCCATCGATGCAGCTTGCTTGCCGGATGTTGCTGAGATTTCTCGATGAAGTCCGATGCGTATGGCTCCAGTGCTCCTCTAGCTTGCCAACATGGACGCGGAGTGGTATTTCGCCTGGCCTTTTATGCAGAAGTTTCCTCCTTTGGATGACCCTCATGTGGTGCGGCAGCCAAGTCGGCGGTTGACAATCCTGAAAGCGAGATGGGCTACTGTAGCACGGGGACAGCTTCCAGCCCACCTGCATCAGATCCAGCCAAGGCCCCCGCGACCGCGACAGAGGCAGAAGTCCTTTGGTATGTGGAGCAGGTGCACAAGAAGGCTGGGCATGAAGAAAGTTGCCTCCGTGCGTATTTGCATTCGTCACATCGTGCTTTCTGCTTGCATGCGTCGGCCTGGCAAACCCTGCCCCCACATCTGGTACTCAGGATCTGATCTGCTTCCTTTTTGTGCATCTTGTTGAACTTCTGGTTATAAAATGCTGCAATAATGCTCGTCTGTTTGTCCCTGTGCGCATGCAGGGGCAACCTCACCCAGTTTCAAGTTTGAAGGTAACGGTCGGCAAGGTCAGACGTGCACCAGATCTATCAAGCATGACATGTACTGGTAGCAGTAACACTGATGCTTCACTTAGCCACAATCGCCCGTAACTTTCGCATGCCTCACGGCTCCAGCCGGCAGCTTGCAGGCCAGGTGGCAGAGGAGAACGGTGGCTGGGTTTGTGCATGCCGGTGTCCTCAGATATGCTACTGAACAAAGCTGTCCGTCGAATTGAAAAGTCTCCGGATCTCCAAGGTCATGTGGGAAGCAGTGTCTTGCTGCTGCCCCTCCGCGCCATCTACGGAGGAAGAAGAACTTCGCGTTTGAGGGTGAGCTGCCTACAAAGACAGTCGTGGCCGCCCTTCTGCCGTTCAGGGTTCACTGCGTCTTTGTGAAGAGCTCACACGAGGGCTGAGCAAGCTCGCGCGAGGCCATGCCCGTCGGCCCAGACGACGTATCGTCGGCGTTCCGAGACCTTCTCCATCTCTGTCTCCGCCTGAGGTTGCCGGCAGCATGCATCTGCACAACTGAAGACAGCAGCCCTGTCTATGACTAGTTTCTAGTTCTTGGAATGCTACTTTTCCGACTCGTAGTTGACAAGCACGCCCAGGTCCCAATGCAGCTGTGCTCATTGCGAGGCTACCAGGCGCAAACATGTTAGCCACCATAGAAAGAGGCGGAGCCGCACAAGGATTCCACCCAACGTCAAGTCATGGTCCTTACTTCTATGACCTGGAGAACAACAGCTTACTTTCAGTTTGCATTCTCGGGTTCTGGGATCGGGCGGTCATAGCAGCAACGGTGGAGGGGCGATGTCGATCACTTCATGGTCCCGGTAGAAGCGGAGGGCATGATATTTTGGGCCCATGTGCGACTCTTACATGAGCGACGCCACGAAAGACATGGTTTTCACGTGATAAATGTCCATGTCGAAGCAGGCCAGCAGTTGACAAGTTCCCAGCAAGCTTTTTCTAGCCGCTGGCTGCCATGCGCCTCACTTCAAGTTAACATCCAAGCGCAGCAGCACTGGTTTCAAACACTTTCATGTGAAATGTCATTTTGATTTTCCTCACCGCGCAAAACATCACATATGTAAATGAACATGCTGGTGGACCCGGTGTGGGCAGAGTTTGCAGTCTATCATAGCACTGTTGCAAGTATCTTGCCTGCAAGTTGTCTCTGCTGAGTGAGAGCCTTTGAGCGGTCAGCTTGAATCACGAACTGGCATGTGTTTTCTCGTCATGTCGTGCATGAGTTGGTGTCCGTGCCAGGCTGCGTCACCAATCGAGTTTCAACGAAGTGCCTCCGAAAGCACATGCAGGTGGCATGGTGCCCGCCAAATTTCAGAGGCTTGCATTATGTATTGGATGGCTTTCTGACAATCCCTGCGTAGCTATGTCATTATGTTGCAAAGCGGTCGCATGATGCACTCTCCAGCGACGTGTTTGCACCAACTGCATGCAGTATATAGACGAACCCACAGCCGAGGATTCCTTCTAAGGTGGCGTGGTGGCCCGAAGCTTCCGGATCCGTCGCACGTCCACAGGACGCAGAGCATGCCGAAGCAATCAGGGGTTATTGCCCCAAAGGTTGACGGAAACTGCATTGCTGCTGTGGCGGACGATCGGTATGGTCTGGGGGATGGCAAATGGTGGCAATGGATGGGATTCTGGCGGATGGGGGGACTGGAACACAGGCCGAAGCAGGGGAAGGATGGCAACGGCAGGCGAGGGAACGGCAAGGAAAAGGCGACGACTTGGAAGTCGTTGTCAAGGGATTCCCTTCCACGAAGCCAGCCTAAGGGCTCGTTTCACGTGTTGCAGAGAGGTCAGCATAGCGCACGGCTGGCCCACAGGTGCGGCACTTGTGGGCTTCCAGAATAAAGAAGGAGTGAATGCCGCTACTTCTTTTGACAGGCCCTCTTTATGGGCGTTTTCCTCACAGTCCGGCCAGCAAGCGTGAGAAGCACGAGGATGAGGCAAGAGGAAGAGCAATGACGATCTGACCACTGTCATCAAAGGCTTTCCCGATCATTCAGATGAAGCATCCCTGACGGCATTCGTTTCGTCTTGCGGCGACATTGCCAGGGTCAGCCCAGGATTCCGGGGCCACCTGACATCGTTGAGGGCCCTCTTGCACCGGATTGTGGCTACAGACTCCAGGCTCCAGAGTATGTTGGGAGATTTGGGAGCTTGTTCTGACTCAGTTGGTCTCTCTACACTGGCTCCCGGCTGCACGCCTTGATGCCGGCACAGGAGATCATCGCCGTGACCGGCGGCCCGACCCCGAATGCTCAGGCAAACACCAACTTCCGGGATCCGGCAGGCATGAGAAGGAGATCGCGTGGCGATATTCGCAGTGCTCCACTGGTTCCACGTGGCTGCAGCCAACCATTTGTTGGGTGACTACGTGACTATGTGCCATCGGCAAGGATGAGCAACGACCCAACTTTTCATGGGAGGCATGAGGGAGGTGATCCTCACGATCATGCGCCTGGAGTGGCTCACCACCTACATCTGCAAGCCGCCTGAGGACCTCCTTGGGACGCGCTCGGATGGAAGGGAATCATCGACGAGGGCTACCCTTCCGAGGTCTGGAACGGATGGAAGCGGGTCCAGTGCCAAGAGCTGAACCACAGCCGCCTTGCCATGGTGGTAGTCACCGGCCTCGTCGCACAGAGGACGTCGTCAGCAGCGACTACGTCGCAGGTGTCGGCAAGCTCCGCAGCGGGGCGAGGTGTGCATCCAGCCCATCGACTATTCTGCTTGGCGGAACCTCCCTCGCATCGACGACTTCGTGGCCAATGTACCTTCTTGGGCCAATCGACCAGCTCTTATGGTGACTAAAGTGGCAGCTCCGGTATTCTCCGCTAGAATCGGCCAAAGTGCAGCAAATAGGGCCGGAGCAGTGAGGGCTGCTGAGCTATCATGCGATGGGCACTCTGAACGCAGTCGCTGCAGTGATCGGTTCAGAGGTAGGGGTGTGTCCGCATACAAGCAGATCGGAAGCTTTTCAAAGAGCATGCAGGCTCGGTGTTTTGGCAAGAGCTTTGAACTTTGAAAAAGGGAAACTTGTGGACATCATGATGAAGCCAGAGCCTCCATCACCTCCGGCTGAGCCTGCAGCAGAGCCGGAGCTCACCGCGCCGAAGCCTCAGGCTTGAGCTGCCAAGTGATCCAGAGAGCTTTTTGTTTATGATTTGAGGTGGCAAGCCTTCTGCCGCTTGGTGGCTTTCTGGCTGCGCAGCTGCGACAGCGAGGTCCATGGCGACCATGCCGACTAAGGAGGCCGGATTTCGGGTTTTCATCAGCCAAGTGTGGAGACGTTTATGTGATACTGCTTGAATTCGCCATGAACTGGAGGACAAAGCAGTGGTGGCAGTGGTGGCAACGCCGCAAGCAGCGACCCCGCCACCTTCGCCAGACGGCTTCAGAGGCGTTTGCAAAGCTGGAAGCAAAGGCGCATCGCCGGCCAAGGGCCCCGTGCCATCTGCACCGTCTGCACGCTTCGGTGGCGTCTTCAAGTCAGGCCCTCTTGAGTCAAGACCTGCTGCAACACCGAAGGCAACGGCATCAGCACAGCGCGCGCACAGAGCACAGGGCAGGTTGAAGCATGTCATCTCCAAGATCCACGTCTTTAAGCAGCTGGAGCTGGGTGTGGATGCGCCTCAGGCGCTGTCGGAGCACGGGCAGATGCACCGGCTGTTCTTTTCGAGCTTAAAGGTGTCAGCCGCACAGCTGACCATCATCGCGAAGGGCAATGTGGGGGCCTGCCGATACCTCCTGGAGCACGAAGGCCTGCTGCAGTATTTCGAGAAGGTCTTTTGGATGTTAGGGCAGTTCTACGGCGAGTCCGACTTCGATCTTGCCAACCCGGAGCCCTCGTCGCTGGAGGGCAGCTCTGACTACGAGCTGCATGGGTCCAAGGTGGATTTCATTGGCAGCTTGATGTCTCGGCAGTCCGTGGCTGTGGACTTAGCGGGCTGTGTCGAGGACGCCCGCCACCTTCGCCAGACGGCTTCAGCGGCGTTTGCAAAGCTGGAAGCAAAGGCGCATCGCCGGCCCTTAAGGGCCCTGTGCCATCTGCACCGTCTGCACGCTTCGGTGGCGTGCTCAAGTCAGGCCCGCTTGAGCCAGCTGCAAGACCTGCAGCAACACCGAAGGCAACGGCATCAGCACCAGCGCGCGCAGAGAGCACAGGGCAGGTTGAAGCATGTCATCTCCAAGATCCACGTCTTCACACAGCTGGAGCTGGGTGTGGATGCGCCTCAGGCGCTGTCGGAGCACGGGCAGATGCACCGGCTGAAGATGTTGAACGCAGAGAGCAATGGCACAGAAGCTCCGTTTGCTACAAGAACACAGGGCTCGTTTTGGACGTCGTGTGCTCTGGGAGGACTGATGTTGTGTTAGTTCTGAGACTGTGATGGCAACCTTTTCACGCATGGCCCGCACACGCTCGCACTCTCAAGACTTTCTTTAGTTGTTGAAGCATGAAGTCGCCACATGTGCTGCCTCTTAACACTGTCTATCGTTGAGCGAAGCCGTCGCCACATCAGGCAAGCCTGATCAGGAATCACCATGCATGGAGAACGAGAAAAGCCGGACTTTGCTTGCTGCCTCCTCACCCCCCCGAGCAAGTATGCTCAAGGATCATGCAGGGATGCGGGGGCCACTCAGGTGTTGCATGTCTTCGAAAAATCGGTACAGCACATGAACGTACAGGCAGGCACCCGTGCACGAATCGTAGTAAGCAGGCATCCCTGCCGATCTTTGCACAGGCAAGCATGCTTAAAGGCCTGTGCACAGGCGAATCATCGCGAAAGCCAGTGTGCCCTCAAATTTAAGAGCCAGGCGCATGGCCTGGGGGGGGGCTAACCCACGTGTGTAAATGATCCTCCCGCTACCGCGCCTGCACAGTGTCCATCGATGCAGCTTGCTTGCCGGATGTTGCTGAGATTTCTCGATGAAGTCCGATGCGTATGGCTCCAGTGCTCCTCTAGCTTGCCAACATGGACGCGGAGTGGTATTTCGCCTGGCCCTTTATGCAGAAGTTTCCTCCTTTGGATGACCCTCATGTGGTGCGGCAGCCAAGTCGGCGGTTGACAATCCTGAAAGCAAGATGGGTTACTGTAGCACGGGGACAGCTTCCAGCCCACCTGCATCAGATCCAGCCAAGGCCCCCGCGGCCGCGACAGAGGCAGAAGTCCTTTGGTATGTGGAGCAGGTGCACAAGAAGGCTGGGCATGAAGAAAGTTGCCTCCGTGCGTATTTGCATTCGTCACATCGTGCTTTCTGCTTGCATGCGTCGGCCTGGCAAACCCTGCCCCCACATCTGGTACTCAGGAGCTGATCTGCTTCCTTTTTGTGCATCTGTGCCGGCGGTCTTGTTGAACTTCTGGTTATAAAATGCTGCAATAATGCTCGTCTGTTTGTCCCTGAGCGCATTCAGGGGCAACCTCTCTCTGTTTCAAGTTTGAAGGTAACGGTCCGCAAGGTCAGACGTGCACTAGATCTAGCAAGCATGACATGTACTGGTAGCAGTAACACTGATGCTTCACTTAGCCACAATCGCCCGCAACTTTCGCATGCCTCACGGCTCCAGCCGGCAGCTTGCAGGCCAGGTGGCAGAGGAGAACGGTGGCTGGGTTTGTGCATGCCGGTGTCCTCAGATATGCTACTGAACAAAGCTGTCCGTCGAAGCGAAAAGTCTTCGGATCTCCAAGGTCATGTGGGAAGCAGTGTCTTGCTGCTGCCCCTCCGCGCCATCTACGGAGGAAGAAGAACTTCGCGTTTGAGGGTGAGCTGCCTACAAAGACAGTCGTGGCCGCCCTTCTGCCGTTCAGGGTTCACTGCGTCTTTGTGAAGAGCTCACACGAGGGCTGAGCAAGCTCGCGCGAGGCCATGCCCGTCGGCCCAGACGACGTATCGTCGGCGTTCCGAGACCTTCTCCATCTCTGTCTCCGCCTGAGGTTGCCGGCAGCATGCATCTGCACAACTGAAGACAGCAGCCCTGTCTATGACTAGTTTCTAGTTCTTGGAATGCTACTTTTCCGACTCGTAGTTGACAAGCACGCCCAGGTCCCAATGCAGCTGTGCTCATTGCGAGGCTACCAGGCGCAAACATGTTAGCCACCATAGAAAGAGGCGGAGCCGCACAAGGATTCCACCCAACGTCAAGTCATGGTCCTTACTTCTATGACCTGGAGAACAACAGCTTACTTTCAGTTTGCATTCTCGGGTTCTGGGATCGGGCGGTCATAGCAGCAACGGTGGAGGGGCGATGTCGATCACTTCATGGTCCCGGTAGAAGCGGAGGGCATGATATTTTGGGCCCATGTGCGACTCTTACATGAGCGACGCCACGAAAGACATGGTTTTCACGTGATAAATGTCCATGTCGAAGCAGGCCAGCAGTTGACAAGTTCCCAGCAAGCTTTTTCTAGCCGTTGGCTGCCATGCGCCTCACTTCAAGTTAACATCCAAGCGCAGCAGCACTGGTTTCAAACACTTTCATGTGAAATGTCATTTTGATTTTCCTCACCGCGCAAAACATCACATATGTAAATGAACATGCTGGTGGACCCGGTGTGGGCAGAGTTTGCAGTCTATCATAGCACTGTTGCAAGTATCTTGCCTGCAAGTTGTCTCTGCTGAGTGAGAGCCTTTGAGCGGTCAGCTTGAATCACGAACTGGCATGTGTTTTCTCGTCATGTCGCGCATGAGTTGGTGTCCGTGCCAGGCTGCGTCACCAATCGAGTTTGAACGATTTGCCTCCGAAAGCACATTCCGGTGACATGGTGCCCGCCAAATTTCAGAGGCTTGCATTATGTATTGGATGGCTTTCTGACAGTCCATGCGTAGTTTTGTCATTATGTTGCAAAGCGGCCGCATGATGCACTGTCCAGCGACTTGTTTGCACCAACTACTTGCAGTATATAAACAAACCCACAGCTGAGGATTCCTTCAGCGGGTGCTCCGAAACCGCTGATCATCCCAAAGCCGCTCCTGACCCCGAAACCGGAGCAAGTGGTTACACCAGCACCGGGCCGCTCGAAGTTATTTCAATCAGTGCGTGCTCTCTTCTTTCTATGAGAAGTGTCAGCGTTGCTGCGGCGGTTCCTAAGGTGGCGTGGTGGCCCGAAGCTTCCGGATCCGTCGCACATCCTCAGGACGCAGAGCATGCCGAAGCAATCTCTGGGTATTGCCCCAAAGGTTGACGGAAAGTGCATTGCTGCTGTGGCGGACGATCGATATGGTCCGGGGGGTGGCAAATGGTGGCAATGGATGGGATTCTGGCGGATGGGGCGACTGGACTTTCGTCGTGAGTGTCGCTCCCGCTGCCCTTGCTTAGAGCACCTTGACCGCTGAGCTATACTGTGGCGTTGATTTACGGAAACAGCCGCATTGGTTTGGCAATGCTCGGCAATGATAGCTTTCGTTGGCATGTTCTTCCAAAACGGACTGACTGGCAACGACCCCCTCGTCAGCTGGACCCAGCTCCCCCATGGGAGGCATGAGGGAGGTGATCCTCACGATCATGCGCCTGGAGTGGCTCACCACCTACATCTGCAAACCCCCTGAGGATCTCCTTGGGACGCGCTCGGATGGAGGGGAATCATCGACGAGGGCTACCCTTCCGAGGTCTGGAACGGATGGAAGCGGGTCCAGTGCCAAGAGCTGAACCACAGCCGCCTTGCCATGGTGGTAGTCACCGGCCTCGTCGCGCAGAGGACGTCGTCAGCAGCGACTACGTCGCAGGTGTCGGCAAGCTCCGCGGCGGGGCGCAGGTTTGCAACCAGCCCATCGACTATTCTCCTTGGCGGAACCTCCCTCGCATCGACGACTTCGTGGCCAATGTACCCTCTTGGGCCAACGGACCAGCTCTCCACGGTGACAGAATCGGCCAAAGTGCATCAAATAGGGACGGAGCAGTGAGGGAGGGCTGCTGAGCTATCATGCGATGGGCACTCTGAACGCAGTCGCTGCAGTGATCGGTTCAGAGGTAGGGGTGTGTCCGCATACAAGCAGATCGGAAGCTTTTCAAAGAGCATGCAGGCTCGGTGTTTTGGCAAGAGATTTGAACTTTGAAATAGGGAAACTTCATGATGAAGCCAGAGCCTCCATCACCTCCGGCTGAGCCTGCAGCAGAGCCGGAGCTCACCGCGCCGAAGCCTCAGGCTTGAGCTGCCAAGTGATCCAGAGAGCTTTTTGTTTATGATTTGAGGTGGCAGGCCTTCTGCCGCTTGGTGGCTTTCTGGCTGCGCAGCTGCGACAGCGAGGTCCATGGCGACCATGCCGACTAAGGAGGCCGGATTTCGAGTTTTCATCAGCCAAGTGTGGAGACGTTTATGTGATACTGCTTGAATTCGCCATGAACTGGAGGACAAAGCAGTGGTGGCAGTGGTGGCAACGCCGCAAGCAGCGACCCCGCCACCTTCGCCAGACGGCTTCAGCGGCGTTTGCAAAGCTGGAAGCAAAGGCGCATCGCCGGCCCTTAAGGGCCCTGTGCCATCTGCACCGTCTGCACGCTTCGGTGGCGTCTTCAAGTCAGGCCCTCTTGAGCCAGCTGCAAGACCTCCGAGTAATAGACCAGTCAAGCCGAGGAGATTTTACTATTTCCCACGTTGTGTGCAAACAGATGTTTGTCTGCGTGTATATGTGTGAGCATCTATTTATCTGCTATATCTACCTACCTATTTATCTATCTATCTATCTATTTACTTTTCTATGTGCTCATACATGTGCAGACACCCGACAGCTACACGGACGTATGCTCCTTGGCACCACGCATTCCTAGCCACATGCACGAGTCCCCGTCCAGGTGGTGGGGACACTGCTCTGTATCTCTGTGGTACAGAAGCCCTTGGGACTTGGCATGGCGTGATCATCGTCTCAGCCTTGGCTGCTGGCTCTCGTCATTTCTGGATGGGCAGGTGTTGGTGCAGCCAGGTGACCCGGCGTGACTTTGGTGGCGGGCAGAAACTTCTAAAGATTCCTTGCCCCGGCATCTCCATCCACGGTGCGTGCATCTGGCACTCCGGCCTCGGTGTGGAGGTAGATCTTGGCCTGAGGTTTACAAAGCCCGGGCTCGTGCAAGCCCGACTTGACCCGTCGTCTTCCGAGGCCTTCGAGTTCCGACAAGACGAGCAGAAAGCACTTCCCTCACCTGCAGGCGCTGAGATGGAGGACCGGCGTTATGTGCAGTCTCTCCAGAAGAAGCTGGAGCCCATCTTTGCATGCCAAGCGGTGCCCCAGAAGCCTGACGAGTACGAGGAACCTGCAACCGAGACGTGTGTCCCTTCGGAGGAGAGGGCTTCGGAGGGTGAGTCGTCGGAGATGTCGACTGAGGACAAGGACTTCAACTTCTGCTTCTTGCAACGCAGCAACCGCTCGGCAGCTTCGGACAAAGACCACCGTCAGGTGATCAAGGAGGTGAGTCAGCGTGAGTTGGGTTTTCTCCTCCGACGCCTGCAGTCCAGGGTGGTGGAGAACTGCTTCGAGCTCGAAGCACAGGATGTGTTGCAGCTTTTCGAGGCACAGCTCAAACAACTGAGGGCCACTCCCAGGAAGGTACCCAAGACCAACGTCATGAACTTCGAGATGGCTCTCACCCGGATGACTTTCGTCAGCTTGGGCATCATTGGCACGTGCTATGAGCCCGAGCTGCTCCTGGCTTCGTGTATTCCTTCATGGCCTGGTCGATTGTGGAAATCACGACGCTCGTGCTCCAAAGCATCGGAAAGCCTTTTTCTCTAGATTCTAGATAGCAAAGAGGCTCAACGGCTTCAGGAGTTGCTGTAGTTCCTGGTCTCCCCCCCGACCAAGTCTTCAACATCGAATTTCACCCACAGCCGTGGGCTGAACAGCCAGCCGATGAGCCTCGAGCTTCTAGGTTTCGCCAATGACTGTTCCACCAGTTTCGGCCAAAGCATCCTCGCCAGGCACGGGGTTAGGCTGCGGCCAGCGATGAAAATGGGAATGATGCTGATTGTTGGTTGCTTGTTTGTCCCGGCAACATCAGAAGCCCTTTCGGCGACATCGGCGACCAGTTTGAGCACATGCCGCAGCGCAATTCAGTTTCTCAAGTCAAACCTGCGTGCGGCCGGTGGACATCATGGACGGCACCGCAGACTGAACAAAGGCATTTTGTTGGAGTTGCCTTTGCTTGAGCTTTGCCAAGGACTTGCCCTGGATGCTTTGGAAATGGCGCTGAAGATGGCGAACCGGTCCATGCGAGAGGCACATCGTCGAATCTTTGTTTTCGGAGGCTTTGACCTGTTTTTGGTTGTGCTTGTGTTAGGCGAACAGGCAGCGGCTGGAGCTACTGGGCCAAGTCAAAACTTGGTTCCAAACCAGCTGCTGCTGTGCCGTCTTCGAGGAGGAGCACGAGGTGGGCAAACAGAGCTGTTGAACACTGGCTTTGTGGATGTGTTCACCTTACGCTGCCCGATCCAGAAGAGGTGAATGTCGCCTCATGAGCACCTCTTTGTTGGACAGGCAGGGCCCCAAGCTGTCTCTGCTGAGTGCGAGCTTTTGAGCGGTCAGCTTTGATCACGAACTGGTGTGTGCTTTCTCGTCATGTCGCGCATGAGTTGGTGTCCGTGCCAGGCTGCGTCACCAATCGAGTTTGAACGATTTGCCTCCGAAAGCACATGCCGGTGGCATGGTGCCCGCCAAATTTCAGACGCTTGACAGTCCATGCGTAGCTTTGTCATTATGTTGCAAAGCGGCCGCATGATGCACTGTCCAGCGACTTGTTTGCACCAACTACTTGCAGTATATAAACAAACCCACAGCTGAGGATTCCTTCAGCGAATACTCCGAAACCGCTGATCATCCCAAAGCCGCTCCTGACCCCGAAACCGGAGCTAGTGGTTACACCAGCACCGGGCCGCTCGAAGTTATTTCAATCAGTGCGTGCTCTCTTCTTTCTATGAGAAGTGTCAGCGTTGCTGCGGCGGTTCCTAAGGTGGCGTGGTGGCCCGAAGCTTCCGGATCCGTCGCACATCCACAGGACGCAGAGCATGCCGAAGCAATCGGGCGACTGGAACACAGGTCAAAGCAGGGGAGGCAAGGGGAAGGATGGCAAAGGCAGGCGAGGGAACGGCAAGGGAAAAGGCGACGACTTGGAAGTCGTTGTCAAGGGATTCCCTTCGACGAAGCCAGCCTAAGGGCTCATTTCACGTGTTGCAGAGAGGTCAGCATACCGCACGGCTGGCCCACAGGTGCGGCACTTGTGGGCTTCCAGAAGAAAGAGGGAGTGAATGCCGCTACTTCTTTTGGCAAGTGTGAGAAGCACGAGGATGAGGCAGGAGGAAGAGCAATGACGATCTGACCTTTGTCCTCAAAGGATTCCCCGGTACTTCAGATGAAGCATCCCCGACGGCATTCGTTTCGCCTTGCGGCGACATTGCCAGGGTCAGCCCAGGTTTCCGGGGCTGCCTGGCACATCTGTTGAGGGCCCTCTTGCCTCAACAAGCACCTTGACCGCTGAGCTACACTGTGGCGTTGATTTCTGGAAACAGACGCATTGGTTTGGCGATGCTCGGCAATGATGGCTTTCGTTGGCATGTTCTTCCAAAACGGACTGACTGGATAGGCATGGGGTGACTGGTCTCTCTACACTGACTCCGCGCTGCGCGCCTTGATGCCGGCACAGGAGATTATCGCCGGGACCGGCGGCCCGACCCCGCATGCTCAGGCAAACGCCAACTTCCGGGATCCGGCAGGCATGAGAAAAAGATCGCAATGCTCCGGGTCGTAAAGCTGAAGCACGGTCGCGTGGCGATACTCGCAGTGCTCCACTGGTTCCACGTGGGTGGTGTGCACTGAGTAACTAGTATTAATGTTGGTATTCATGCTAATACGAATGTTAGTAGTAAAATCAACTTGGATATTCATACAGAAGAGGAGCATGTGGGGCCTGCGTGTTGCCAACCCACTATTTTCAGTGGGTTTAGATGCTTCGAGTGGTTGCATTCATATCAGTATGAACAGTAATACTAATTTTAACATGAATAAGACTAACTTAAAGAATGTCCATAGTATTGAGGTTATCATAGCGATAGGAATAGCATCAATACAGTAACGGTGAAGCCGGCTAATCCGGTCCTGCAATTTGCACAAGTGTTGCAAACGCAGACGGCCCACTGTTTTGCGGCTTCGCGAGTTTTAGCTCCTGTAACCCAGTTCCCTAAGCGACACCCGCATCGGCACCACCACCAACAAGCTACTGCTAAGATCTAAAGTGTGCGATTGGCACGCCTAGTCACACAAGGCTTGCGCCAAAAATGTTTGGCATTCGAATTATATACAACGTGCAAGTGAAAACCTGCTGTGGCACGGCGCTGCTAAACTGAAGTTGCGCATGCACTCGTGTCAGAGGCGCGCATGCACTCATGTCAACTCACGTAACAATCACAGTACGGTTATTGATGTTGTTATTATTGCTAATATTGCTCATATATTATTAGTATTGCTGCCATTGTTATTCTTATGATTATTGCTATGCGTGCTATTGTTAGTATTATTGTTAGTATTATTTTTATTAGTAGTACTAGTAGTAGTATTAGTATAGTTGTAGTACCAGCAGTAGTAGTAGTAGTAGTAGTAGTAGTAGTAGTAGTAGTAGTAGTAGTAGTAGTAGAAGTAGTAGTAGTAGTAGTAGTAGTAGTAGTAGTAGTAGTAGTAGTAGTAGTAGTAGTGGTAGTTGTTATTGCTGTTGTTGCTGCTCATGCGGCTGCTGCTGCTGCTGCTGCGGTGGCGGCCTGGTTGTGCTGGTGACGGTGGCTGTTGCGAATGCCGTTTCTGCTGCTGGATGCGAGAATGTGTCCTTCGTTCAGTGTGATTTGAAGCACATCCTGACAGCCAGGCCTGTTTTCGGGAAAGCTAGAAAGCTTGATTTGGCTTGCAGCTCCTTTGCTCAAGCCTTCAACCAAGAGCGGTGAACACGTCTTTGCCAAGGATGGAGGCCAAGGCAGGACAGAGTTTAAAGAGTTTAAAGTTTGTGATTAGTCATATTTTGGAGTGGCCTTTGCCTCCTTGGTTTCCAGATTTTCAAGGGCTGCGCAAGGCTTGGCAGTTGTAGTTGTGTTTAGTTGTAGTCCGATGACAGCAAGGTTCCTGCAAAGCCATGCTGCCAACAGGTCGGTTTCATAAGCGCCAACAACAAGTGCCAGTCTCCCTCGCCCAAGCGTATAGCCAAAAGAGCGACCACGTTTGCTTATGGAAGACACTAATAGTTTATCATGGAGCTTCCTTTTTGGTCCGGATGTCGCTCACTCTGATAAGCAAAAAATATAAACCAGATGAAAACGAGAATAACTCTAAGGTCAGGCTGATGGGTTCCTGAAAACTTGGAGTTAGTGGCCTGGTCCCGAAAGAGATCCAGACGAGATCAAAAAATGGCGGATGGGCCTACTCATGGTTGGCTCATTAGTCCTTCATCTCCACAAGCGTGCTTCTACCACATGAGCGAATCATGTTGAAAATCCACTGAATAAATGCAGTCGCTCGCATGGCTCATGGCATGCCATGGGATTTTGCCAGGTGATGACCAGGGTCTCTGCTGCGCGTTTTAACGACCTGGAAAAGTTGCTTGGCCTCGAGGCTTGGCAACCTTTACCCCCAGCGTGCAAGCCTGACATCGAGCAAAGTCCTTCATGCATAAGTGAGGTGACAAAGTTCACCAAGAGCAAGGCAGGCTACTTTACGCCCGTGCTTGGTGCTGCCATTGTTCCTTTTCGTTATGCGCGTGACCTCTACATTCCGTCAGCCTGTTGATGGCGTTGCCTTGATGACCCGGCAGATCAAAGTGGACCTGAATCGACTTCAGTATCTTGCCGCAGTGCTGGAGGCGCGGATGTACTGCCAGCAGTCCTCGTAGCAGCAGCAGCAGTAGTAGTAGGGCTTCCCCCCCGGTGCGACGGAAAACATGCGCGTTGTTAACGCATTTTTTCCTCGAATCGCGCGTTTTCCTCGAGTTTTGGAGGGTCACTTTTCAAAATGTGCTCAAAAGCAAGGCGAGAGCGTCGTTTTCAAGGTGTTTTTTCATTTTCTCCAGTTTGTCTTGCGAAAATGCTGTAAATAACAGCATTCGCGCTTGAGATTTTCTGCGTTTTTCAGTCTTTTTTCGTGTCCGCAAAAAACACTGGTTTCGGGTCATGATTTTCGCGATCGCGTTTTTCTGTTTCTGAATGTTCTCGTGGCTCAAAAATGCTGTAAGTGCCAGCACTTTTGCGTGAACCTCTGCGCGAAATGCTGCAGCTACCAGCGTTTCCTCGCGCATCTGGACTGTGTCTTGTCTTTTGGATGGGCAGCTGCTGGAAATACCAACGTTTTCGCGGTTGCATTTCCACCAGATGGATGACTACATCGCGTCCCTGCTCGCATGATCACTGCGTCCATGTTCCCAGCATTCTTTTAAGCCCACGCTGAGAGGTCGGGGGGGGGGGGTGTGCGGCTTAAATGGGGTATTATCGCCAGCTGTAACCGTGGGTTTTCGCTCCTTTAGTATTTAGTACAGACAGGCAGATGGCGTTTATATCCTTTGTATGTTCTGTGGGTGGTCCGGGCCGTAAATAATTTAAATATTTTAAATATTTCCGGACCTCCCCCGGCCCGAATGAAATAATTTAAATAATTTAAACCCGGAGGCCTCACCCAATATTTATATGATTTAAATTATTTAATTCCCGGGCCGAATTAAATAATTTACATAATTTAAATATTGGGGGAGGGGGTCGGGGGGGGTCCGGGGCCCCGGGAAATAATTTAAATAATTAAATCCGGAGGCCTCCCCCAATATTTAAATTATTTAATTCCCGGGCTCCCGGAACCCCCCCGGGACCCTCCCCCAATATTTAAAATATTTAAATTGCTAAATTTCATAGGTTTTGGGGGTTTCTTTTGTAAATGGAACTTAAGGGTTGTTCGAGGGGCAGTTTTGTTATTCCAGTCCGGAAAACAGTGGTTCAGGAACGGATGCAAAAATCAGAACAGCAGTATGCGGTCTGTGCAAAAGCATATAAGCGGCTGTTGTGTTGCAGGTGCAAGAGTCTTCGTACCCATATGCAATCGATCAATCAACCAATCAATCATTGAATCAATGCACATTGGGCCGGTCGGAACTAGAAGAAACTGTCTTCAACGTTCAGAATATCAGTTTTCCAGGCTTTCTGGCTATGCCGGGCAAGGTCGGGTCCAACATACAGGGAGCGGTCCAGCATTGCCGGGTGGTGGACCCAGGTCAGGGGTGTGTATGTTTACGTTTAACTACCTTGCTCCTGGCTAAGGCCTTTGTGTCCGGAAATGGCTGGGCTGTTGGCTGGCGGTGAAACAGACTTAGATAAAGTCCGTAGCTTCAAGAACAAGTTCACCAACCATAGAGGGAGTGGTTGAGCATTGCGTCCTCCACCACCCCGGTCCATCTGCTAAGGCCGTCGTGTTCGGAGCTGGATTGGGTTGGATTCGACAACCTTCAAGGATTCCTCAAGTTACATTTGTTTGTTTCTGAAAGTTCGTTTTAGTTTTCATTTTGAGTTGTAAGGGCAAGCAGGCCGTCATGGTGGAGCTGGATTGGATTGGATTGGATTCGTAAAAAAACATTGAATGGTTCATCAGATACCATTTTCCTTAAAGTTCACTTTCATTGTGAACTTTAAGGGAGAGCAGGTGTGGTCGGAGCTGGATTGGGTTGGATTCGGAAACACAGCCTTGAACGACTCCTCAGGTTCCATTTTGTTTTCTTGAAGTTCATTTTCGTTTTGAATTCTATGGGCGAGCAGGCCGTCGTGTTCGGAGCTGGATTGGGTTGGATCCGAGGAACCTTGAACAACTCCGCAAGCTACACTTTTGAGGCTTAAAGATCATGTTCGTTCTGAACTTTAAGGGCGAGCAGGTCGTCGTGTTCGGCGCTGGATTGGATTGGATTGGATTGGATTCGAAACAAACCCTTGAACGACTCCTCAACTTCTCATGTTTTCTTAAGGTTCTCTTTCATTTTTGAACTTTAAGGGCGAACAGGCCTTGGTGTTGGAGCTGTGTTGGCTTGGATTCGGAAAACCTTGAACGATTCCTTAAGTTCCAGTTTTTTTTCTTGAAGTTCATTTTCATCTTGAACTTTAAGGGCGAGCCCAAAACTCCTAGGGGTTATTTATTTTTTTACACCAGG